TAACCGTCTTTGTTTTAGTATTTTCTTTTTTAGAGGGGCTACAGAGTCGAGTGTCATTCGCAGTGAGCCTGCAGCACTATCAACAAGATGATCGATTTGGGAGGGACTGAAACTAGCATAGGAGTCCTCCGTTACTTTGTGACTAGATAATGTATTTAGAGCTGATGGAATCACATCCTTAAATTTAGCTATAGCACTATCAGACAGACATCTTGTATAGAAATTTTTGCCCAATGGCGAGTAGTTCAGCAATACAAACTCAAAAGTTATCAAACAGTGGTCGGATAAAGAGGGATTCTGTGGGAACACCACTAAATGTTCAATTTCAATACCATACACCAAAACAAGGTCGAGGGTGTGGTTAAAACAGTGAGTCGGTTCATGAACACTCTGAGAGAAGCCAATGGAATCTAACAGAGAGATAAACGCAGTACTAAAGCTGTCATTCTCAACATCCACATGAATATTAAAATCCCCTACAATAATAAGTTGACAAAAACTCTGCAAATTCAGATAAGAATTCAGAATACGGGCCAGGTGCTCGGTACACTATAACGAAGAGAACTGGTTGCAGTGATTTCCAACTTGGGTGCGAAAGACTAAGAACAAGACTTTCAAATGAGTTATAGTTTGGTTTAGGTTTAGAGCTGATTAGTAGGCTAGAGTCGAAGATAGCTGCAACTCCACCTCCTCAGCCTGTGCCTCGAGGAATGTGAGTATTAATATGACTGGGAGGGGTGGATTCATTTAGGCTAACATTCTCCATCACCCAGCCAGGTTTCAGTAAGACAAAATAAATCAATATCATAATCTGATATTAGTTCATTTACTAGTACACCTTTAGAAGAGAGAGATCTGAGTCCACATTTAACTCTCCTATTCATTTGCACTATTGCTCTTGTGGTTTTAATTTTTATGAGGTTTTTATGCACAGCTCCTCTTCTGTTTACCTTTTTAAATAATTTTGATGGTCGGGGGACAGACACCGTCACTATAGGATTTTCACTAAGTAACTCCTGAAATGGAGGAGCAGAGAAGTGTGTTAAACTGCGACTCTGCCTCCTGGTCTCAACTCTGGGTTGTCATGGATTTGGTCCACTAATAAACTTGGCCAGATTTCTAGAAATGAGAGCTGCTCCTTCCCAAGTGGGATGGATGCCGTCTCTCCGGATCAGACCAGGTCTTCCCCAGAAAGTCTGCCAATGATCAACAAAGCCCACATCGTTTGCTGGACACCACCTCGACAACCAGCGGCAGAATGACGACATGCGGCTATACATGTCATCACTGGTCAGATTTGGCAACTTTAGAACAACTATGAGATTGAACAGCAGTCACTAAAAGATGCTTAGGCAAAATTACTGTAAAGAATAAGTGTTTAGCGAACAGTTGGCCGCTGCACCGGAAAGCACCGGAAACGGAAATGAGTCGACACGCTTACCGCAATACGTCAGCAGTGCATATCTTGTACTGATCATTTTTTGTAATATTACTGTATAATAATAATAATAATAATAATAATAATAATAATAATAATAATCCTTATTTGTAGAGCACTTTTCAAAAACAAGTTACAAAGTGCTTTAACAAGTGTAAAGAATAATACAAAAAAACAAGATAAGAGCATGAAACATTAATATAAAATTAGTAAAATACAATAAAATAAAAGGGATAAAATAAAGTCAAATAAGATCGGGAAAGGCTCTCCTATAAAAGTATGTTTTAAGAAGGGACTTGAAAGAGTTCACTGACTCAGCCGACCTGATTTCCTCGGGCAGGCTGTTCCAGAGCCTTAATATTTCTGAAATATTAACTCATAAACCTCAAAAGAAGGGCACCACCGGAGATTCAATTCGCCCAGAGTCTCCGGACCTCTGGGTAGCATTTTAATAATTATACAATTATTCACTAGACATCAGTTAGGTAATAATCGCTCAATTATCTTAAATCAGTCAATCTCATATCGAAGGAGTAAATCCTCGTGACAGGGACTTGGAGTTAGACAATACACACACAGTTCCTGTGATTACGGTGAAATAAATGCGGTTAAATACACATCAAAGAAATAAACAATGGCTAAACAAACATGATGTAAACAACAAGAATGTTGAGTTCTATTGTAAATTGGGTTCTCTTGTAGGGAGAATTTGATTCATAAGGGCAACTAATAAACGCAAGCTATGAGAATAACTAATAAGGATTAAAGATAATGGATTAGCAAACTATTGGACATCACTGATCACAGAAAGCAGGGTTTTAGTCTTACTGTGGGGTGTGGTTCCCCGGAGGAGCAGTCCTTGTTTCCGTGAGGGCTTATTTCCGGTTTCCCTAATGATGATATGTCAATGAGCTGTGGCTCAGGAGGTAGAGCGGGTTGGCCGTTAATCGGAAGGTCGGCGAACCCCGATTTGCCCCTGGCGGCTGTTCTGCTGATTCTGTTCTGCCAATGTGTGTATGTTAGTTTCCATTTGAGCTCTTAGGCTCAGTGTATGAATGTGTATGACTGGTGAATGCAGATGTAGTGTAAAAGCGCTTTGAGTGGTCGAAAAGACTAGAAAGGCGCTATTCAAGTACAGAGCATTTACATTCAAAAATCTATTTGCGCGTAATCAAATATCTCCCTACAATCAAACCTTAATTGTCAAACGGTTATACAGTTCTTAGTTTTAAGCATTTGATAAAAAGGAAACAATTACTTAATCATTGTAATTATTGGAATGGTTACAAGTTAAACACATGACCTAGGGATCTGGGGACTCGGGCTTGTGGCTTTTGCTCATTTCTGGGCGGGTGGTGTGTCCCTGGGCCTGGGGGCCTGTTGTCTCCTCTCCTGGGCCCTCTTCGGCAGGGGTGGGGTTCCCGCTGCTTCCCCCTGCCAGCTCTCTCTCAGTGGGGGCATTCGGGAGTCTCTGGGGCGCATGGCCGGTGTTGTCGGGTTAGGTTTTGGTGCTCCTCCTTGGGGGTGCTTGACTGGGGGGGCTGGGCCCCCGTCCAGGGATTAGATCGGCCTCGGGGGCTGCTGGCACTGCCTGCACTCTGGGGAGGGATGCCTCTGGCTGGGCTGGGGGACCGTTGGCCTGGTTCTCCCACGTTATCGCTCCCTGGCGGCAGGGAGCTTCCCGGCAACGCTTTCTGCTGTTCTTCCTTGGGGCGGGGTACAGCTTACCCCGGGACATGCGCTTTGGGGGGTCGCGGGGTGCCCTGGCTTCTGGGGGTGGGGGTCTCTGCGCGGGTTAATCCGGTTGCGGTTTGGAGGGCTGCGGTGGGATTGTAGGGCGATTGTCCTAGTGCTTTTTCCCTGGGCAGGGTCTCTGAATGGCTGCTGGGCGTTTAGTTTGTGCATTGGAGTCCGGGGGAGGCATTTCCTCGTTGGCTTGGAGGGACCAGTTTGCGTCCCTGTTTTGCTTCGTTGGCCTCGGATCCATGCTTCCCCATTTCTCTGTCGGCCAGATGTTGGACCCCTCTGGATACTGAGGTATATAGTTAGTTTTCGGGATGTGCAGTGTGGGTGCTGGGCAGGGCTCCGGTTTGTTCTGTGCTTGTGCCTGGAGTTCTCGGCCCTTGACGGGTGGGTGGGTTGGTGGTGGCATGCAGTTGAGCTGGTTGATTTTGCCTCATTGCTAGTTTGGCTGGTTTTGCACGGCGGCCGGGGGCGTGCTGGGCATGGGGGATGTCGGCTGGCGCCGGCGGCCTTAGTTTTTTCCGGCGGTTGGGGGACGGCGGACTTTTATTGGCGGGTGCACGGTGGCATTGTGTGTTGCCGTGCTCGCGCAGTGTGCGCGTTGGGCTCGTCACTTGTGCATTGGTGTTGATGATTGCGTGGCATTTGGCCGTTTTGGTTGTTCGCTGTGCAGCGGTGGGGTGCTGGGTGGGTGGGGAGCACTGGTCTACTCGCAGTACAGTGTTCGGTAGAGGAGGCCCGTTTAGTGGTTGGAGAGGTGGGGGGCTGCGGTAGCGTGAAGTCTGCCTCCCCCATGAATGGAGCCATTGTTATATTTTTGGACAGCACGGCCAAAGTTAGTGATGTGGTCGAAACAGATGTAGTTATTCATGACACTTTCACTCCCATTCTCCCGCTGGTTAGTCCTGCAAGAAAGATCGTCATTTCTAATGCCCCCCCCCCGTTCATTAAAATGAAGTGCTGACTAAAGAGCTATCTCGGCACGTGCAGCTCATCTCCCCGATCAAAATGGTCTCTTTGGGCTGCAAATTCCCTTTGCGCAAACATGTCGTGTGTCACCGGAGGCAGGTTTTCATGGTTTTTAAAGACAACACTGATGATCTCAATCTGTCTTTTAACTTTAAAGTAGACGGGTCCACCGGAGGCAGGTTTTCATGGTTTTTAAAGACAACACTGATGATCTCAATCTGTCTTTTAACTTTAAAGTAGACGGGTCCAGTTACAGTCCAGTTTATGCCTCGTCAGAGACCATGGTGGAGAGGGGTTGTCGCGGGTGCTGGAACCTACCGGGGCTGTACACCACCCCGGCCAGGCTCCCGAGGACCCCTCCCTGTATGCTCTGGCGATGATAGTAAGCAGGCTGATAGCGTTACAGAGACAGGGTCAAACAAAGAGCAGAATAAACAGTGTCCCAACAGTTTGGAACACACTGATGATTTGCGTGATAATCTGTCAATGTGTGAGGACTTTGCTGAAAATGAAGAGATGTCTGATGATGATGACATGTTAAAACTGTCACAAAAAAGAAAACATTCAGAACAAGTCCATAGCAGTGCTAAAGCCATCAAAATAACTATAGGCAAAAAAGCTGTCATTCTGTGCCAGCTGTAGTGGAGGACTGGGAATTGTGTTTTCCAGGAGCTTTGTATCTTCTTCCTACAGGTAGAGGAAATTATTGAGGGTTGTTTACATTGCTTTTAACAATGTATTGATAACTGCACCTTGTAAGCTACAAAGAGCAGAGAAAGAAACATGAAGCTGATCAGAGTTATCATACTGTCATATTAAGCCTATTTTTTCTCTTATCTCTCCCTACCAGCCCCGTCCGCGTACATCCCCCGGCTCAGGCGACTTTGTGTGCTCAGTGTGCCACAAGATATTCCCTCTGCAGCGCATGTTGACTCGCCACCTGAAGTGCCACAGCTTGGTGAAGAGACATCCTTGTCGATTCTGTGGCAAAGGATTCAACGATACCTTTGACCTCAAGAGGCATATGCGAACACACACAGGTCAGGAATTAAATCAACAGTAAATGGACTGTACTTATATAGCACCTTTCTAGTCTTCCAGTCTCTCACAGCTCTTTACACAATATCACATTCACACACTGATGGCAGAGGCTGCCATGTGGCGCTGACTGGAGAACATAATGTGTTCAGGTCATTTTTTTATAGGGTGCCATTTGGACTTCATAACTTGGGATAAATAAATAGTTTATTTACCTATATTACCTATAAGTTCGATTATATAAAATAACTTTATGAAAAACATATTGGTCGAGCTCAGGCATCTTTATGGAATTCAATTTCAATATATTAACAACATGTGACACGTGGGAAATGTCCAACCTGTTAAGGACTTAGACATAACTGTTTAAAAGTTTTTTCAGGGTATGATTGCTACTAAAATGACATTTATAGAAATTATATGTCCCTCACTCTTATTAGATATTTGTTTTACAATAACATAATTTTTAAACAGCATAGGCAAGGCCTATATTGAGTAAAACAAGTGCACATAAATGGAAGGGGATGCATTTTTCCACTTTTTTTCCCCTCAAGGAAAGTGAATTATGATAAGAATTACTCAATGTCTCTTGCCCGTATAGTCAATCCCTTCCATATCTTTATGTAAATACAAATATACACTTACTATTTGGTAATTTCAATAAACTTTGAAGGATAAATACCAACATAACAGGGTGGACAAAACACCAGTATATACTATATAAATGTCCACCCTGTTAGGTTTTCAGCAAGGTGGACACTAGCAGCGTGGACATTAAGAGCTAAAGTTAGCCTTTTACCTGCCTGCGTGAGCATAATGGCTAGCATAACCTTCAATACTATATGAGGAATCTATCATTTTTCACAGACAGTTCTTGAAATTTTTTTATTTGAATGATCTTCTCAAAACCTAGGGTAACAGGGTGGACACGTTATGTTAAAACACATTAAACTGACTAAATAAAAATGTGAAAATCCGATAGTAAAGATAGAAAAGATAAAGGTTTGGCTCTGGATTGCCGGCCGGTTAGCTGTATTGCTACCTTTTGTTTTTCAACTTTTCATAAAGTCAGTCACTTCTCGTCAACCGACCAATCACAGCCTGGATGGGGTGGCACATTAGAAAAAGTTTGATGTGCTTATGATATATATATGATTATTGACAAGTTAATACTTAGCATTAACAAATTAGAGACAAATAAATAATTTTGCTTGCACAAGGATTAAATAAATAAAAACAAACCACAGAAATAAAACAGCTATAACTGGATTTAATATTAAACTAGCGGTAAAATAGTATACTATTATATGAAATTATAATGACCATAGTAATTAATATTTTAACATTATAGCCTACTAACAGTATACTATTAACTGAACATTATACTTTTTATTTAATATTATACTAATACACTCATTTACACTAGTTCCTCCTCCACGTTGTGGATGGAGCCTCTTCAGTGGACAGATGTAGATTTAGATCCAGGATGCCAGTGTGCCTTTTCTCTTTTTAATGTCTCCTCCTGAGAGCAACACGCACCCCTTGTTCTGTTTTACATCTGTTTTACTAAAGTTATTGTTATAAATATTGTTTAACTTTGTTTAAGTTGAGAAATACACATTTCAAAATGTCAGTATTTTGCGCGTTTTCCTTGACAATCAAGCAAGTAGACTCAAGGTACCATTTGTTCCATTATAATCAAATCGCAATATTGTCCACAATAATCGCAATAATACTTTTTCGTGCAGCCCTAATGAAAAGTGCAATGAAATAACTTTTTTTATGAATTGGTGCTATATAAATAAAATTGAATTTAAGGTGCAAAAGACAATCCTTCAGCAACAATCTTTTATGCATGTCTCTTTTTGCCTTGAGGTGTACATTTGATTATTTGTGCTTAGCCTGCTTTTAAACAACTCCCTCAGACAGGGAGTCCTTGGTTGCAAAATTTGTCACACAACTGCAAAGGCACTTTTGTCTGTCTGAATGTAGTGCATGCACACAAATATGCAGAGGAACAAAACCGTATTTTGTCTCCCCCAGGTATCCGTCCCTACAAGTGTGAGCTGTGTGAAAAAGCCTTTACACAACGTTGCTCTCTCGAGTCCCATATGAGGAAGATTCACGGTGTTCATCAACAATATGCCTACCGTCAGAGACGGTCCAAAATCTTTGTGTGTGAGGACTGTGGTTACACCTCAAGCCGCCCTGATGAGTACTTTCTCCATGTGAGACAGTGTCACCCCGGTAGTCCTGCCCTCCGCAGGTACTACCGCCGCCAGGCGCATGAGAACAGCAGCTTTGCATCAGCAGACCGTAAACTCAACCCCTATATTCTGTACTCAACCCCTGCATATTATATGTAGAGTTCCTTATAATTTAACTGAACTACATTATAGCTGTTCCATAAGCCATTCATAAAGTAAATAGTTAGACATTCGTTTTTATGAAGTATTCAACTGTGTAACACCTAGGCAATCTACGTATGTACCCTCTATGCTCATTCAGTAGTTCCTGTTTTTAATCAACACTACTTTTTATGCTGTTTTTTTTATTTTAGTGTTTTTTACATTTTCTCTTGTGCTATGTTTATTGTTACAATAAAAATAAAGGATAAAAAAGATTAATGTCTTTATTGTTTATAGATGCATTTCTCAGGAATCAACCAAGTCATTCACAATCATTTACAGCAAGTCAAGAAAGATATACTTTTGTATTTTACCCTTGGAATCCATATTGGCCTTTCCTCTAAATGAATCCCACAATATCTGCATTTCATTTCATAGCTACAGCTTACAGTCCAGAATAACGCTCGCACTCACTGTGGTAGCCAAACGGTGATGGAGACAACAAGCATACAATCGATGTGCAGCATGAACTCTGCCATGTATGAGAAAGTGTTTTTTCAGATAAGGGTGAAGGTCAGGACTTTATATTTCTCCCTCTTAGAGTGAGTTGCTGGCCCAAGTGAGTGCAAGTAAGAAAGAGGGTGAGAGTGACTGCCAGAATGTCGTGTAGAAAACGTTCTCAGCTGCCTCTTGATGAAGGCAAATACAGGCTCTTGTGTCTTATTTGAATCATGAAACATTTTATTGATTCCACTTAATGATTCAGATTATGTTTGCCTCTTAACTGTAAATATAGGAATTTGTGCCACACTCCTTTACTCATGTAGGTCACTTATCACATTGAGACTGGGCCTGCAACATGTCTTCACTTGTTAAACTCTACATTACGTTCCACTATATCAACCATTCTTTCCCCCTTTATTTCACTAAAATGTGCAACTCAATTTTCATTCTTAAAGCACCTTATAACCTCTTTAGTGAAGTAAATATATTTATATTTACCTTAAATGTATTTGAGCAATTAGCAAAAACCAAAGTAATGAATCAGACTGAAACCATAAAGGAACCTGTGCCACCCCATGAGCACTTTGAGTTTCTGTTCCCACCACCGCAACAGAAACACAAAGTAGTACTGCCATAATTTCAGCTTGTGGCAAAACATTTTTAATGGACATTTAGCATGTGAAAGTACAAATTATTGCAAATTTGGAAAATATTCATTATTGGTCACTTGGCACACGATCTTGTTATCTTATCACCATTAGCAGTAAAAAGAAATACATGTTTTCTACCAGGGCAGTAAAATGTGAAGTTTAGCTACTGAGCTTCCCTGCTGTTACTGTTTTATTGCCAAAAATAATCATCATCTGTTTGTCTCACGAAGCTAACGTCACATTTCTGTCCACGTTTTAGCTGGCTGATCTGAGCTTCTATACTGAAAGCTGCCTTTTTATTTAGTGATTTAGTGTTTTGGCTTTGTCGGCTATGTTCATGAGACAATCCACTTGTCTCATGAACATAGCCGACAAAGCCAAAACAGAGCGCCGGAGAGAGAGTAACTACATGAAATTAATCCAACCACAAGCCAAAGAACAGCGCTGGAGTGCCATTTGTCTGTTGTCAGCTACTCTAGAAACATGGAGACACAATATGGCGACGACCATGAACCTGTTATGGAGACAGAAATGGCTCAGACTAAGATAATTAAAACAAAACACCATCGGGCAAACCCACCACAGAAGACTTTGAGCATTAAACACTTAATTTTCTGCATTCTGAAGACATTTTCAGTCAATTTATGGTGGAAGTGTATTTTCATTAATTGAAACAAAATTAAGGTGGCAGGTGACAATTCAAAATATAAAAATATATTATTGGAATATAATGCAGTAATCAACAGCTTGTTTTTTGTTTTTTTTTAAGATTTGTTTTTATTAACAGAAGCTCTTACAAGATGTTAATTGTGTGTTGGAAGGGTCCACAGTTTGATACATTGAAAATCGTATTTTACAAAAGGAATATACACAAATGTATAACACTACAGACATACCTTACAAGCATAATGATTTTCAATTTTGAACATCAAAAGCAAAATAAAATTAAAAAAATAACGTAAACGTAAAGTAAATAAGATCAATACAGAACAAAAACACAAGTATTACACAAACCTTTCCCATCCCACCTCCCACCCTCTTCCTATGTATGGTTCTCAGTTTCCTTTCATTTATATATCTAAACAGTCTATATACATCTTATACATATACTCATCTGTATACATATATACCTATATAAGTCTATACATTACTTCTATTTTCCTAAATGCTGCATGCTTCCCTCTCACATTATATAATATCTTTTCGGGTGTGCAATAAGACACAAGCTCGTTCATCCAATGTCTTACTGATGGTGAATTTTCAGATTTTCAGTTGAGCAGAATACATTTCTTTACTGCAGTGCTCGCAAGTAAGAAAGTATTTCTTGTAGTAGTTCGCATTAATAGAGATTGTGTCCCCAGGGATCCATAGATTTGGGTCCTGTTCAATTTGACTTGCTATTATCCTTGAGGTTAATTCAATGACACGTTTCCAAAATTCTTCTATCATTGGGCAACTCCATAGCATGTGTATAAGATCACCATTGGTCACTTTACATCTCTGACAGTTAGAAGAAATTTTGCTGTCAATTTTATGTAACCTATAAGGTGTATAGTATGTCCAATGGAATATATTAAATTGAATTTGCCTGTGTTTTGTGGAGGTTAGCACAGTCTGTGCTTGTTCCAATAGATGACACCAATCTGGCTCCTCATAAATACAGTCTAGGTCTTTTTCCCCATTTCTCTTTTGTATATGTTTTATCATAAACTGGTAACGCTCCATTGATGATCCCATATATGGAAGATGTTTTTGTTTTTGTTTTTGTTGATCCGTGTAATTTGTTACATAGATGGGTTTCAAGAGGAGTTTCTTTTGGGATATATGGGAATGTTTCTTTGGATATCTCCTTAACCCAGTCTCTAATTTGTAGGAATTTGAAGTAACTATCTTTGGAAAGGTTGAATTTTTCATTTAGTTGTTGGAAGTTAACAAATGTATCATCAATATATAAGTCAGCAACTGTTTGGATTCCTCTTTCCCTCCACCCCCGCGACACTGAGTCAACTATGTGGTGTGAGAGGTTGGGATTGCCCCACAAAGGTGCCCTTCTAAGAAAAGAAACATTTGTGTCAAGAAGTGAGTGAGATTCTTGCCAAGCAGCAAATGTGTTCAGTATTATTGAGTTGTTTGTGAGTGTGGCTAAACATTTTTTTGTGCCTATGAATGGAATATCCTTTAAAAAGGCATAGACTTCAACTCATTTTGTTCTATTGGGACCCATCTTACCTCACTATTCTCTGCATGCCAGATCCAAATCGATCTGTACTGCGAAGCAAGATAATAATTCCTAAAATTTGGTATTTGGTCCAAATTTGGTCCATAGACATTATTAGCATAGGATTTTGATATTTTTGAGCGGTGTTCAGTATATGGAGCAGTCGCTGCACATCGTCTGCTCCATATCTGTTTTTAACGAAACCTGTTTGGTCAGCGTGTATTATCTTTGATATAACGTTTTCCAGTCTGAGAGCAATTAGTTTGGATAGTATCTTATAGTCTGCATTTAATAGGCTGAGGGGTCTGTATGAGTCACATTTCTGTCTGTCCTTGCCCGGTTTTGGAAGCAGTGTGATTGTTGCAATTTCCAACGAGTCTGGTAATTTTTTATTTTCTAGAGCTTTAATCATGTTCACAAGTGGAGTTTTTTTTAGAAAAAGGCCTTATAATACCCGACAGGGAAGCCGTCTGGTCCGGGAGTCTTGTTATTTTGTAAATAATTAATGGCTTGGAGTACCTCCGTTTCTGAAAACCCGCATGAAGCAGATCTCTATCCTCATCTTGCAATTTTGCAATCACCTTTTTACTCCAGTATTATCAGTGTCCTGCCCAGTTTAATATAAATTTTCGTAAAATTGTTTGAATTCTGCATTAATGGATGGTGAATTATCAAGGAGTCTGCCATCCTCTGTTAATATTGAGTGTATAAATTTATCAGATGCTTCCTTTTTAATTTGCCAAGCCAAGAGTTTACTTGGTTTGTTCCCGAATTCATAATAGTGATATCTAGTTCTGGCCATAGCTGCTTCCTCTTTGCTGGTGCATAGATTATTATATTGCATCCTTGTTTTTGTTAAGTGTGTTAAAGTGTCCTTTTTGGTGGCAATGTATTCCTGTTCTTGCTTTCTAATGTGTCTTTCCAATTTGGTTAGTCTCTCTAATTTGTTTTACCTTGTGGGCACTGTATGATAAAATCTGACCTCTCATATAGGCTTTAAGAGCCTCCCAAATTTTGGCATGTGAAGAGGAATTTGAATTGGCATCAAGAAATATTTCAATATAGGTAGTCCTATATGAAATAAACTCAGGGTCTTTCAACATGTCATTTTTAAATCTCCACCTGTGGGTTGTGGGCTGTGGAGTATCAGTCAACCAGGAGAGTTTGATGGGATTATGATCTGAGAAGGTAGCTGCTAGATAGGAGCATTACTGAGACTATCATAACTTGTGGCACCAGGAACATGTCAATTCTAGAGTGTGTATTATGCATAGGTGAAAAGAAAGAAATCCCTCTGGTTTGGATAAAGATTTCACCACACGTCAATTATGCCTATGTCTTTCATACCTTGGTTTAGTCCTGTTGCCGCCTTTGATAGTGAAGATGTTTTGGGTAATGATCGATCCAAAAGAGGGTTTAAGACTAAGTTAAAGTCTCCACCCACAACACATTGACCTCCAATTGTAGCCAATTTCATAATCAGATTGTTAAAGAGTCATCATAATTGGGCCTATATATATAGATATCTTGTTCCTATTTATTTCACAATCTACAAGCAAAAATCTGCTGTTTTTATCCTTTTCAACTGAATTTAATTTAAAGTTAATGAGCAAGGCGACACCTCTTGCTTTTGAGGAGTAAGAAGAATAGAACACATTACCTGTGCAGTTTTAAATGTTAAGTCAGTGAGGTGGCTCTCTTGGATAAAGGCAATTTCTACATTAAATATGTCAGCATTTTCTTCCTCTTAATTGGTGAGTTGACCCCTCTAATATTCCAAGATATACATGTTAATTTACCCAGTTCATATAGATGTCTCAGAAGGATAAGTATCATTCTATTCGCCTGTAAGGATGTCTGGATATACTCCTACATTGAGTTTAGATGTAGTAACATAATGAACAAGGGTATAATAATAAGACTGAATCTGAACGTGAGAGTAAGCTGAATATGTGAGTAAGTAGAAATTGGGGTTTTAGTGAGAAACCATATGTAACCCCAAAACATTAAAGCAACAGAGGTGGCTCCAGCAACAGCTGATAATTAAAAACTAACCACTCGTAACAGTTTGTATACGGGAACGTTTGCAATTTTACAATATTAGAGATAAGGCAGAAATATGTACAAGATAGAGAAGTTGGTTAAATGAAGTGTGATCCCATTTGATCATTGTGGTGTAAACCATAACTTCACGTTCATTAGCCTGCAGGCAGGGTCTGCAGTTTATCATCAGCCATGGTCCAGTTATTTTAAACATTTGAAGATAACAGGATTAGGCTATTATGTCATAGCTTGAATCACAACCCTTCTCAACAGTGTCTGTAGCCGAGTATGTACTGCAGACACTTTGGTTACATTCATGCTACTCACTTGGGAGATCTTTCAAAAAGTGTTTCACTTCAGCTGGAGTGGAGAAAAACTTGACTGTTCCCTGATGTTTGACGCGAAGCTGGGCTGGGAAGATCAGCACGTATTCCATCTCCTTCTCTTGCAGTATCCTCTTCACGTCACGGAACTCGTCTCTCCTACACTGCAGGTCTGCACTGTAATCTGGGTAGAACGATTGTTCTCGTATGTCATCTCTCCTTCTTTGTCTCTGAAGTTCAGGAATTTGCGGTGTGCTCTTTCCAGGGTGACAGGTGAGGCGAAGTTATCATTAACCAGGATTTGTGGTATAAACTTTTCCAAAAATCCTACAGTATCACGACCTCTGCTTGTGCCGGCAAATTTATTATCCTAATGTTAGACCTCCTGCTGCTGTTTTCTAAGTCATCAGTTTTGTCTTTGAGATGCGTTATCAGTTTCTTCATTTCACCAACACGGTCGCGCGTATCTTTGATATCGTCTTCATTTGCACTCACTCGTGTCTGTATCTCCTCAACCTGTGCCGCCAGTGTAGAGAGCGAGGACTTGATTTTTGTTAATGTTTGTATGCCAGCTGTTTTCTTGTCAATATGCTATGTGAGGTCGTCTTTAGTTTCTTGAATAGCATCGAGAAGTTTGCTGAAGGATGTTTCCTTTTCCCCGCCCACCATGTTTCTTGTGGTTACAGCGTCCAGGTGTCGCAAAGTTTGAGTTATAGTTTTTTCACTTTTTATGTCAAAGATTGTAGCTTGCCATACAAAAGTGTTCTTAATGGCTTTGCCTCTTGCACACAAATTAAAGTGATGAGAGATTAAAATCAGGATAAAGGCAGATGCTAGGTACCACCACCGAGAGCTCACGAACACATGTCTGCACTCCTCCGCAGCATTCCGGAACTTAAACAGCTTGTTTTAGCTTAAGTTACTTTTTTGGACAATGCACATTTGTTTCTTGAATATTTCTATTGCATTCTTTCTGATTGTGCATTGTTTCATTTGTTATTAACATTTCTTGATGCAAGCTGTTTTTAACAAAAGCTTTCAAAAAACGGACACATTCTGATTCTGACATGTCCCCAGCATCCTCAGTGTAAATGACACCTATCTGTCATTATTTTTAATGTCTTGCCCCATCCAGGCTGCGATTGCTCGGTTCACAAAATGTGACATTGACCACTTTCTACACACAGCTGCTTGCAAGGCACCCGAGCTGTGTAAGGGTACTCTGATCGATCACCAATCGTAATCGGCCGATAATTGCTTTAACTACTTTGATCAGTGGTCTCTAAAAGGGTGGATCAGAAAAGCCCATCAGATGATGCAATACTCGCCAGACAAATTTTCAGCAGCAGTTAAAACTAAGCGGTCTGAGTAGGTTTCAAAGCTGGCTAGCACCAAAGTCCTTTTCAGAGAGGAAGCAATTGATGTGCCCAGTTAATTATTTACAATGAGAGCTGAGCAGCAGAACAACAAGCAGGAGCGATCATGTGACACGTGGTCATCTCACACACACACGCCGTCAGAGTTTAATTGTCTTGACCCACAGCACATCAGACAGAGAGACAGATTCTTCAGTGTGGGTTTCCTGATGCAAAGAGAGAGTAGCCGTTTAGCAGCTCAATCAGCTGACTGCCCCTCTCTCTCTCCATTTTCGCTTTAAAACGGAGACCTGGTAGGGCTTTATAAAATGATTACATAGACACTCATATTTGGCTTTCTGATTCAGTCTTATAAGTCATGCAAAGCCAAAACAGTTTTTTTATTAAAATATTTTGCACTCTGTAAGTAACACTTGTGCTGTGCATGTTGCCGTATTTACTTTGTCTAGTCTGTTTTCTGCCACCACAGTCTCTGTACTTCCATGTTGCTTTCAGTAACAGTTCCACTTCGTTGTGGGTCAATGCAAAAAACCATACAAAAAACAACCTGGTGTGGTTGTTCATCTATTACTGAAATATTTTGCCAAATCTTCTGCAACTGGAGTAGACTATTTGTTTTATGTTTACACTGGCACACGCGTGCCCAGTGTACATTTGCGGATGGAGATCGACTGATACGCAGCTAAAACGCTGCTGTGGAAAGAGAAGATGGCTTTCGTTATCAAACTGTTTTAAAAACCTGTAGTAGTGTGGATGTAGCTTAACACAGACCACTCTTCTCTCTACTCCTCTCATGCCAACCCTCCCATTTTCAAGTTTCTCCTGTATTTTCCCATTTGCACCAGGTATCCTCCCGCTTAAATGTTTCCTCGTAAATCTCCCGTATTTTTAACCTTTATAAAATCAAAATGATCTGCTGACTGTAAGTGTTTGCTACTCTTTCCTCTGGTAAACCCATGTAAAAGATGTAGACTGTGCACAAGGATTTAATAAATGAAAACAACCCACTGAAATAATATTAGGCCTATACTAGTGGTAACTATAAGTAATATTAACAATATACTAACAGTATAATGTGGAATTGTACATACAACATAGAATAACATTGTACGTTTATGTATTTCCCTTATTTTCAAATCTCAATGATGACAGTTAGGACTCCTCTCTGTAGCCCCCTCTCCCTCTCTGCTCCTTTCCCCCCTAAAGCCCACAGAACCTGCCTGAGTTTTCCACAACAAAAAGTGGGTATTTCAGAGTTAATCATTGTCACATTCTGCCTGTCAGCTATGTTTAGTTTAGCTCTCTTGAGTTTTGGTTATTTGATCAGTTCAGTATCTGCTTTATAGTGTTTTGGGGTTCAGTCCTGTCTGTTGTCCTGTGTCCAGTCTGTTAGTATTTATTGTGAGCTCTGCCTGATTTGATATCTGTTTGGTTATTATAATTGTGTTAATCTGTCTTGTTCAGCTATCTTAGTCCTTTGTTGAGTTTGTCGGCTAGCGCGGCTAGAATTCCAGTCACCCCAGAGTGTCATATACAGAGTCTCCAGGTAGAGTCTCCTGTACACACAGAATTGACGTTTTCCTTGAAATAACTACACTTGTTAAGCGTGTGTGTATATGATGCCTGCGATGAGAACAGGCTGGGCTGAGTAAAATGTCGAGGTGCCCACTTCAAGCACTGGTGGATTGTCATTTAATGAATCCACATCCTTCCGGCTGTTTTTCCTGTCCCTCACTTTTACTGTCCAGTTCCCTCTACAGGTATGCCAGAGATATTTGCAAACATTTTTTGTACTAAATAGAAAAAAAAAAAATAGCACATAAGTTCAGGATGGTTTGTGGAAAGTAGAGAAAAATCAGTTTAATTATTTAATAAATATAGAAAAGGTTTTTGTAAGTAGTCATACATTTCATATAGGGTGTCTACACTGCACATCTTCCACCCTAACTTCCCAACTATTAAACGTTTGACTCTGGCCACTTTGAGGAAGGGTGAATATGCAATTTCACATCATTTGGGGCAATTATTTTTCTTCTGCGCATGCAGTTCTATCATGTGGCAGCGTCAAACGTTTGACTCCGCCCACGTTGAGCTCTGCCCAATCTGCACACTGCAGTCAGGGGTACTTGTTAACAACGCAATAGCCTGTAGTGGTATGTGTTGTGGTTAAGACAGACATTAGTCATCATTAGTAACCTTTTGAATACTACAACAGGCACAGCAACAAACCATGTCTATAGTAGTGCATCATAAGGACAAACAACTCACAGGTGCAGATATGATACAGTAAATAAGATTTCTCTTGTGTAACAGCTAAATGCCCCAACATGGTCAATGCCTGAAGATGTGCATTGTCTCAAACATCAATCATTGTCACACATTAAAGTGCATGCTCTCTAACCCTTGCTCAGTGCATCTTTATCATGAATATCAGTCTGGTACGTGTTGTCTGGTAAGAAGGCAAGGTAGGTGAGAAAATGTCCTTATCATTCTTTCATCATTAGCTCCCAGCAGTCTGACCTACCTTTCTCAATATATCAGTTGGGAAACTTAATTTGGAACATCACTAATGACATTCCGAGAAGCTCTGTTTGGAGGCGTTTTAGTCCTGATTCTTCTTCATCTTGTGAAGTTTTGAAAGCTGAGGAGTGGGGCAGGGAGTGATCATAGAGCTATTGCTCTGTCTTTGGTCCTGTTATAGTGGGAGAAATCAGTATGTGCCACCTTAAGGCGCATTCAGGAGAGCTCACTATAACAGTGTCTCTCCCAAGCTTGGACCTCCCCTCCTTCTGCACACACCAGCAGGTATGACTCACTAGTCACCTGTGGCAGGCGAACCTGGAGGACAAAGACACAAAAGGTTATTTATTCTATAAAAAAAATAAATCAAATACCGGATTAATTTTGGTCTTTAAAATAAATAAATAAATAAATAAATAAATAAATAAATAAATAATAATAATAATAATAATAATATTTTGTACACCTTAATTTCCCCTTTGTGGAGTTTTTTTGGTTTCTGTTGGACCCTTTGTGTTTTTTGGACTGCTGACATCACCTGTAAGTTTCATTGTGTTGCAATAAACCCCACTATCACTCTACCTGTTCCACCGCCGTGTCTGCATTTTGGGTCCAAAACTGTTTTCTGCGTTCAGTTGAACGTAACAGAATGAACTGGCCAAAAATGGACCCCGCTGACACAACCTCCCATGAACTGTATTATTTTGTTACGGACTTTATGGAACTTCACAAAATGTGGAAAGAAGCCAAATGCTCCGGTTATGGGGAACCAAATCTGCTCACTGGCTCTAGAGAGGTGGGCTGCTAAAACTGAGATGTGGGGTTTTGTTCCTAAGGAGGCCACAGTTTTTATGTTTCCATCTCTATCAGTCCCCCACCAACAAGGCAACCTCAATCTCTCACCTCAACAAGCCAGCATCTGCCTGCCTGTTTCCCGGGCTGCAAACCTCCTGTTTGATGGTGAAGCATGAAACTTTGCCGCCACACCGTTGAAGGAAAACTCACAATCTTTACAACAGGACATCAATGTGACATCAATGTTAACGGTTTTCTGAGATAGTTTTTAAGTAGCTATAGCCACCCTGCAAGAAGTGGTTCATCACAACATAAAAGCAGTCACTTCCTCTTGCCAGCAGGTGGCGCTATGACTAAGAGTGAAAATTGGCTTGTAGATGGCCTTTTAATTGTCGGTGGCTTTAGACTGCACAGCGAAAATCTGAAGTCAGACTAATTCTTTAGGAGGTGTGTTTGTTAAAGTATGAAGTGTGTAAATCATCGAAAAATAGGCTGACTTCCTGTGGGGTTTAGAGCATCGCTCCAAGAGGCTGTATTATACGTCTGGACATGATACATGTGCCACAGACATTTCGTTTCAGAGTGGGACTATTCAACTTGTAAAATTTCGTATAGATCTGAACATGTGCAGTCAAATTACAACAACAACAACAACAACAACAACAACAACTTCCTGTGTCGTGGCGAAGCCGCCACAACGTTAACCGAGAACTCACATGACATTTCAGTGTGTTAAGGGTTCCCGGGATAGTTTTGAAGTTGATGTCCAACCTGCTAGGAGTAGTCCATCATAGCATAAAGCGTGACATATCCTTTTGCCAGCAGGTGGCGCTATGACTCAGTGAATATTGGTGGATATGTCGATGTACACTGAAGTTATAACAATTTCCTGTTTTGTGGCGAGTCGATTTTCGACACCTCGACACGGGCACGCTCGAATACTAACAGTTTGTATGACTTTTAATCTTCAGTGGGTTTAGACTGCACAGCAAAAATTAGATGATCAGACTAATTCTCTAGGAGGGGTTCGTTAAGTTCGGACCCTGTAAAAGGGCATAAATGGGCTGAAATTTCACTGTATAATCAAAACAGCTGACTTATTGTTGGGTTTAGGCTATGGCCCTAAGAGGCTGTTGTGTGTTTTGGGATGATACATGTGCCACAAATGTGCGTCTAGGTGATTCACTGCACCAGGGCTACATTGTTCGGACACTTCCTGATGCCAGTAGGTGGTGCTATGAAGTTGAGTGAATTTTGGCCTTTAGATGTGTTTAGGGTGTGACCCTTTTCAAACATGTGAAATGTGGTAGAAATGTGAGTATGTATAGTGAAGTTACAACTTCCTGTTTGATGGCGTAGCATCAAACTTCGCCACCATGCCACAGACAAGTCGTTACACAAAAACACTTATGTTTTAACACCAGGGCTGCTTTAAGAGCTATGGGCTTTATGTCCACTCTGAACTAAAGGTCACAGTACTGTTATTTACATATACTGCAATAAACAGAGGAGACAGCAAAAGGGATCTCAGCAGCCTCCAAAGGACAGAGATTTGGCTGGGTTTGTCTAAGGATTGAGTTCTTCACACATTGCATAGGGTTCAGAATGCTTCAGGAATGAGCCACTGGTGTGCAGGTATGCCCTCTTCTTATGCCTTCCAGAGTGGGTGTCACCATATTCTGATTGGCCAAGAGGGAATCACACAGCCGCACTCAATCCCTGCTGAGGAGTCTGTGCAACACTCCCTGTCCAGCAGGTGCTCTGAATGATCACTAAACAACCAGAGTAATGGAGACTCGGCCAAACTAATTGAAAAATTAAAATAGCAGACAATACATACAGACTGCTACAGCGGGATGTCATCACAAAATCGACATGCATTGTGGGATATGTAGGTTATGGTCCATGTATGCTTTAAAGCAGCAAAGACTTATTTTAAGACAATCGTACACCTTTTAAGCTTTTGAAATATTTATCTCATTAGACATCCACACTTTTACTTATGCAGAGATTTGAATGCAGCAAATGAAGTACTGGAGTGTTTCCACAATGTGGTATTGCTATTGTTACTTAGGTAAGTAAAATAACTGAATACCTCTTCTACCACTCTTGAAATAATATCCCACATACACTACAAAACATCAATGGTATAAAAATATCAGCATTGCATTCAAATCACATCAGTTGAATCCTTATTGACTGATTGTTTAAGTATTTTGTCTGTACCCTGTGGAACAGTAGCAGGTGGCGATGGAGAGGAATCATCAGTGGGTAATGGCAGGCAGGGGGCACTTTCTCCCTCTGTAACACATGCAAGTCAGACCAGTTAACAGACAGCAGCTTTGTAGAACCAAAAATAGAACCTGGCCTACTGAATAGGATGGACCTTGGCCGGCTGTACACATTTCATGTCATACAGAGAAACTCGGTTTGCCCGTTAGCAAGCCTGGTCTTTGTTACTTACGCAACAACTGCAAAGCTTCTGCAAATGAATTAAGAATCACACAGGTAACATGCTGTTTAAAAGTATTTTTGTTTTCCATGTCGGACAGAGAAAGAAAATATGACAGTGGATTAAAGATAGGCTTACATCCCATGGTGCGTCCATACAGTGGGCCGTCAGAGCAAGAGAGACTGGGCAGATACTCAGCTCTGTGATTGGAGGAGAAAGAGGAACATCAGAGTCTATGATGTGCAGCACTGGTGCAGGCATTCAGCCTTGGGGTGCACAGCTGGCCAGCCAGATTAGTAATAACAAAGACACAAAACTAAAAGCAGCACAAATGTGTTTTGATGAAAGGGATGATAGTGCGAGTGTGAAATGAGGGAGAGAAGAAGTGATGAAGAAAGCAATAACAGAAGTGAAGTACAAGTCATTGACTGTTTTTATTATCACACATGGAGCGAGGTACATGCTTTTTGTCCACATGCTTTTGCAAAAACAAGTGTTTTAGTAATTGTTCACAACATCTTCATCCATCAGTCCAGCAGCAAGAAGACCCTCAATACTTTTAAAAGCTCATGACACTGTATTGATTTATGGGCATCCAAGATCCCGCATTCCAAGGCTATTCTTAAAGCGGGTATTTACCACCATATTTTGACTGACGCATGTATCCAGTATAAGCATACGCTGCCGGGACAGTGCAACACTGATTCCACCTCACATTTATGCTGTTCTTAAGAGAATTTGACAACATTATGCTACATATCTACCTCTATATGGCCTTGGCTTTTAATGTTCTCCTGTATGGATATTTGGCAGTTTTTAGAGAAAAACACCCCTATCTTTAAGTATGATATTGGTTCCTATGGTGTCATGGCATAACTGCATACAATATACAGGGAAAGAGAGAGCAGCAGGAGGCTGTATAAATGGATGATTATGATGATAATGAACATGAGGGTGTAATAAAGAAGCAGGGGTGTTGTTCTCTTGCCTTTTTCCTTGGGGGTTCGCCAGTCCTGTATCTCCCTCTTCAATCCCTCCATTTCTTTCTCCAGCTCAAAATATTTCCTCTCAGCTTCTTGTAACCGTCTGGTGGACAAAGAAGGAAAGTTCGTCTGAGTTCAATGAAGCAGGGATGATGTAATGTCTGTCAAAGATCTGGAGTGGTGGGTGTTTTACTGTTTTACTTTGAAGTTTGGCGTTATGGTCTTGTTTTACTTTCTGTCTCACTGATTGTCTAGTGACTTCACTTGTGTGCCATTATGTTCACTGCCCCTGGTGTATTTAATTCAATTCAATTTCAATTCAATTTTGTTTATATAGCGCCAAATCACAACAACAGTTATCTCACAGCGCTTTTCATAAAAGAGCAGGTCTAGACCGTACTCTATGATGCTAGTTTTAGTATTGCTGCTAGTATTTAGTTGAACTATTCCTTTCCCTCGTTGCTCACACATTGTTCTACACTGTTTGATGGTTAATATCCGTGTTTTGCGTCTTGCTGTTTGTGTCTGGATTATTCCCTGTTTCCCTAGCGATGTTTGTATTTATTCTTTCAGTTTGAAAGGTTATGATGCTAGTGCTATCAGTGTTTAATCACCTGGTGCTTCGTTCACTCATTTTAAACTTCACTAAACATGCTTGACACATGCCACAGTGACTGCGCGGACAATTATTTATAGTTTTTTTGCAGGTGACTGATGTAGCATACTCAATGTCTGCTCACACATTGTTCAAGCAAAAATTATATTAAAAAAAGATATCGTAGACAATGCATATCGCACCCCCTACTCCGGAGCCACCTTCAGTAAAGCCTTCCAGAAGGAGACATGGCTCTCACCATAATCATGCCTCTCTGCTGCCCAGCTCCTCCTCCTCACCACTGAACTGTCTAAATCTTGCACCTCGTGTTTCATCCACGGCCCATCCGACTTCGGCTCCCTTTATCCAGTTGACAGTCCGGCTGACCCCTGCTGGCCCAGTGTCCAGTTGGCAGGCCAGCTAACAGCTGCTCTTGGTCTTCAGTCAACGGTCCAGCGGACTCTTGCTCCTTGTGTCTGACCTTGCTGAATGACTTCTGTGCCACAGCAATCCATTGCTGGATTGCAGAAGTGGCTTACTGACCTGTAGCTGAGCTGCAGCAGCCCCCTTACTTTGCACCTTTGTTACAGAACTAAAGATGCTCCCTGTGCTTGTTGAACAGCAGCAGTCTTCAGTCACCATTCTGCAACCACTTGCTGTTGCTGGGCTGCTGGTTGAATTGGCTCCTGAGCTGCTGCAAATCCCTGACTCTCCTGAGCTACATCCAACCCCTGCCTCTGCTCAGGCAGATGTTCCTGTACACTATTCCAGCTACCTGGTTATGACGTTCCCTGTACGCACTTCCTGACTGCATCTTACACCCTGCTGTTATGTGATTTAATGTCTTAGGGGCATCCTTGCACAGTCTGCAAGGATGCAGTCTGGTGTGGTAGACCCCAGCCTCTATGGATTTCAGCGGCTTGTCCCTCCATGAAGGTTCTTCGTCTTCCTTGTCCTCACCCTCGGGTTTCTGCTGGCTGAGGTACTGACTAAGCCCTTCATCTTTGGGGGCCATCTTCCTGATGTATTCTTGGATCTTTGTCGTTTCATCCTGGGCAGTGGTGTTGACACTCACTTGCCCTCGGCCTCCCTCGCTACGCTTGGTGTGCAGCAGTGGTTCTCAACCTTTTTTTGGGCCAGCGCCCCCCTGTCCATTATCCAGGTCCCTTACCGCCCCCCATCAAAAAAGATGTTTGCTATTTGCCCTGAATATTATTGATTTTTTTTATTGTTTGCTATTGTTGCTATTGTTATTAAAAACATGGAAAAGGTATCAAAAAATCCATGTGAAAAGTAATTATATTTAACTAATAAGTGAATGTTCCTCACAGAAACTGTGTCTGAAGCCAGATACTGTTTTCTTGGATGGTGCACTTAATAAGTGGGGGGTATGGGGTCCTCCCCCAGAAGATTTTGAGCATTATACACTCACTTTCCTGCATTCTGGTGAAAATGTCTCCTCCAATTTCTGCCTTTTCTGCACCAATTTAATGTCTAAAAATTCAGGTTGCAGGTGACAATTCAAAATATATAATTATTATAGAATATAATCTAGTGAGGCTCTCAGGCATTCTTATCGCTTTTAAATATTTTTCTCCTGTAGATCAACTTATTTAATATCATCCCTGCTGAGTCAACACACATGATTAAGTCTTACCTCCTCTTTTGTGGGGAAGTAACCTACAAATGTGTTTGTGTCCCCTTTTCATCTCCGTAATAAATTAATCCGTTTTAATTCAGTTATTGACTGGACTTTATTAGCTCATCTGTTAATAACTTATAACTCAGTGTTTCCCACAGAATGACAGTGTAACTGTGGCGCAGCTGTACAGCATGCTAGCCTTGAAAACCCAGCTGTATACTGTAAACATTAACTTAGCGCTCCTTATTAGCTAGGCTCCTTACATGCTTGCTAATAACTTTTAATAGCTGGGTCTCCGACATTGATGGCGTTGTGCAGCTGTGTTCACGAGGGAGAGAGAGTGAGAGATTGAGGGACGGATGAGAGATGAGCGAGAGGATGTGCTGCGTGAATACGCGCTGCCTGCAGCTCAAATACGGTTTTAAATAGGCCTAGTAAAAAAAATCGAAATTCAATATGTGGCAGTAAGCACTGATATTGTGGCAGGCCGCCACAAATAAATGAACGTATGGGAAACACTGTAACATATTTGCTCATGTTCAAACCTTTCTGCTCATTCAGAATCTCTCCCACATATCTGAGTTCTCTGACATGTGAATATAAAAAGTCGTAATGGGAGACTAACGTCATTAGCCTATTTAAAGAGAATTCATAATATTTTACTACATGCCCTATACTGCATGATGTTACTGATTTGCTGGAAGTATCCCCTCGCCGTCTAACAGACAAAACTGAATGAGACGAGGAGGTGCTCATGCCGGGGAATACGAAACTAACCAACAACACCTGTGATCAAACAGAAAGCTCACGAATAATTCCACACACGTTAACTTCAGCACATCTGATAAAGTGCCGCTTACAATCCCCAACAGAGCAAGACAGGGCTTCAGTTTTTAACGTTATATTTTTATAGCCTACTGAAACTGCAGTATATGTCCTGTCAAATAAGTTGAGATCCCAGCGCTCTTGCTGTCAGGTCGCAAAGAAGAAAACTGGAGCCTTTCTCCCTTTAGTAACAAAAGTGAGTGAGAAAAGGGAAGTGCAACATACTTCCATCTGCAAAACACAGAGCTTAACAATGCTATAAGCAATATATTGAATAATGATTAAAAGAAAGATATTTGGTATTAAACATGATATGATGATTGAAAATCAGGATATCTCATTGATATTGAAAATTAATAAATTGAATTGATACTCGGATTGTAAAATACATAATATGGTTAAAGTAAGGAGAATTTGGGTAAAGGTTAAATAACTGTGCAAAAGGTCACTAAGTTTGGGTGAAGACATCATGACTATGAGTCATTGGGAGCGAAGGGTCAGCAAGGGGAAATGAAATGGACATCTCTGGCCCAACTGAATTTAAGGATGAACAAACTATGTGACGTATGTCACGTAGACAGAAAAAAGGTGGTGGCTGATTGGACAAAGAAAACACAGCTACGGAATACAATATATAAAGAGGAGTCAGAGAGAGATCGGGGTTATTCCTCGGCAGACCTCAGAGGCATCGGACTCGGAGCAAGACCATCACCGCACCGGACCAAGAGCCCAAGACAAGAGACGGGGATTTTAGCAGCAAACAACTAGAGAATACTTCAAGAGATCGCGCCACAGAGGGTAACCACAACATCCAAACCAACTGAAGAATCATTGGACTCTGAAGATTGTCTCTCACTCAACTGCAACGAAGACTGAAGACTTTTGAAGACAATTTGAGGGCTTTGGACAAAGCCTCAAGTTTCCACCAGAGTCATCAGCCCAGCAGAAGAGGGAAAGAACTCCTTGGCCAGGACAACTCCTTCCCCTTCCTTTCTCTCCAAAAAGAAGACATCAAAATACTCAAGCTCAGCTATCATAATAAGGGTTTATCAGTTTACTCAAGTTTTAATCAGTTTAAGTTGTATGCTTGCCCTTGCTTAATTTTGCAATAAAATATATAATCACTGCATTTAAAGTACAAGTAGTAGACATTGAAAAGTAAAGTAAAGTGTGTTTAACATCTTTAAGGTTCTTATAGGTCTCTATAGGCTCTAGCCAACGAAATTAACTTATCCTTGGGGGCTATTTTCTTGGCCACTAAACACAATCCTAGCAACTATACCAAGTGCACTGATCAATGAGAAGAGAGCTGTCGTTAACGGGCGTGGCTGGGGTGGTATTTTGCTCTAGGGCTATTCAGTCAGGTGCCATTTCAGAGTAAGCAGGGAAGGCGTTCAGAAAAAGACAGTGAGAAGCTAGGCGAATCTCTTCGACACCAGCTTAAACAGTCCTCAGTTATACCTAATAGGGTAATACCCATAGGCCTAGAGGATCAGACCCTTTACGATGGAGAGCTGGTCCAGTACCTCCTGAACAGGGGTAACTCGGGATCTAACAGTCCGCTTTGGCACAAACTGTCTGCGACTCACAGCGCGAGGTGGGTCCATGTCACTCGCTGGTGTCGCAGAGAAGTTGCTTTCAGGAAGTCCGACAGCAGAAGATCCCTTTTTGTGAATGTGTAACCACTGAGATAACAAGACGTTCACGATGTATTCCTCAGAGAAATAAACACTTTTCCACCAAGAAAGAGAACGTCAATTTTCCAGAGTTTACACAGTGGATAAAATTTTAGAGATAACAAAATTTTAGAGACTTCCTGTTCCCATGAAGGCAGCACGAAGCTGCACCAGAAGTAGCTGACGGAGAAAAAATACACAGTTTTGTCCAGTCGCAGTGGACTAAACTGGCAGGTTTTAATGTTGCAGACCACAGCTTTTTGCAAGTAGTTTAAAGTTTAAACTTGTATTGTTGTGAATCTTAAGTGTAAACTCGCCTTAGAATTTCCAACCAACAAATGCCGCCCAAAAGCAGCTCAGTGCCC